AAAAAAAAAAAAAAAAAAAAGAATGGAAAGAAGGGTATGAGAAATTGAAGGAGTGAATTTAAGTCTCATTTGAGAAGCTTGGCAAAGGAAGAAACAATGAATGACCAGAACAAACATATGCCACGCAATTCTGAATAAAGTTTATTAAATAATATGTACAGCAAATGTAGTAATTCAACACATCTATCAGTCCACTGCAATGAAGAAAAATAAATGAACAGAAAAATCTATGTCTGCATAGTACATGCTCTCAGTGTGTAATTTAAATGGCAATACTTTAAATTAATTGGTTATATATAATGTCAGTTATTTTTCTTTCAGAATATAATCTTTTTGGTAGTAACCTATTCTAGCAATAGGACTTAATATGACTGCAGATAAATAGGACTGCAAAGAAACAAAAAAACAAAACAAAACAAAATAATGAAATTAAAAAGAAAACAAAACTATAACTGAGATTATAGTTACCTTCCCTCCCCAGTAGAATAATTATTGTAAATTTTAACACTTTACAGTGGCTATTTTGGTGTTAAAAATCTGTAGGTGAGTTATTTGGAATTCCTTCATTTAAATAAAAATGCACAAAAACTTCATGACTTCCTTACTTTACCCCCCTTCCACTCAAATTTTTAAAATTATATTTCTATACAAGGTAGGTACATGGGCTATACAAAGTTAAATATACATATTTACAGTCCCACTTCTTAAGCACATAACCTTTTTTTTTTTTTTTTTTTTTTTTTTTACTGATCCCAGAGAGACTGCAAAAGATAAGGAGTTTGGGGCTTGCCTTTACCCGGAAGCATGGCTAATATATCAAAATGTGTTGCAAGGCATGCCGCCAGTGAGTTGCACTTGCTATTAATAAACCTGTATAAACATTTCAGCATAAAAATAGGTACTTTATATTACTAAATGTCTGAAGACAAAAGAGCAATTGGAAACTTCTGTTCCTTGTTTCATCATACATAGGAAGGCGAAGTGATGCAAATTTTAACACATGATTTTATTAAAGGCGGGCAAATTGGTGAGGCATACCCGAATTTCTGGAGATATACAAATGCGTGAGGCTGGCATCATATGCAAATGTGGCTTTACAAATTGGTTTTATTTTCTAGCTGTATTTAAAGACATGTTCAAAACTACCTACCTAATCAAGAAGCACCCCTCAAAAAAACTATTCGATAAGATAGTGTTGTTAATGGTTTGCGTCTAAGAAAGACCAGGAAACACATTAGCCAATACATTCCAAAACAGGTGAAATGCTGCCGTGCAAACTGCACGTGCATATGCATTTTTACTATATTGCCTCAGAGACAGTAAAACAAACAAACAAACAAAAAAACAGTGCTCTTAGATGGTGGAGCAGACCTTCCAAAGGAATAGGTCTTACTCTTACTGGGTCTTAAGGAAAATCAGGAAGTCTCCTTCTACCCAGAAAGCTCACCTCCTGCAGTTCCATAGCCTTTAACATTGGGATTCCCAAAAGGCCCTGCTCTGTCCTACTTAAAAACAATTGTCTGTGGGAAGAGGTAACACATTCCTACCATCAATCATTTACACCTTAGTTTTAATGAACTAGTGGCAGCTTCTTTCCTGACAAAGGAATTTGAAAGAACAATAGGGAGAAAGTGAGGGTGCTGTGGCTGTCTGGTGGGAGGTGGGAGGCTGGTGGGATCCTAAGATGGGTATTTGTGACAGCAGCTGAAGTACAGGTATTGAAAATAAATTTCGCCTACCTGTAAAGACTCTAGACTTTGGGACAATGGTCCTGGTGTAATTCTGAGCTATATGCAGACAGCCAGGGGTTCCTGTACACACCCCTATCTCCTAGAAGTGCTACTCCTATTTGTGAACTTGGATGTGTATCTGTGGGGAAGACGAGAATTTGGAGACTCTGGAAAACATTCCAAGTATTTCCAGCTATGAACTATCCTCAGACAAAGGTTCTTCCAGCATCCTAGTTGTTTAAAAGTGAGCTAATGGAGACAGAAATATGACAATGCATTCTAGGATCCCTCCAGGGAAAACTCATCTCTTCCTCCCTCACATCCTTCTTAGCACATATCACAGTCTCTCTTGCTTATGTTCTTTTTCCTGTGTCTGTCTCCCCAATCACCTCTGAGTTCCTGGTGGGCAGGGAATGGGCCATTTCTGTAGCTGTCTCACTAAGGGGTCTAAGAGAGAGGCCAATAAACATCCTTGAATTGGACAGAGTTGTGACCAAGCACCCCAGGCGTCACAGGGGCCTCTCTCTTCTGATACAACCCCCCAGACAGACATCCTGGTTGCTGCTGGCAGTGGCAGAATTGCTGCTTCCGTCTGAAGGGAAGCCTTGCCAGGGTGTACTCAAATTCACAACCCTGATTACTACATTTTGTGTGATCCTTGAACTCCCACAGGGAGTAGATCTGGAGCCACAGCAAAGCCTGGGCATGTCTTGCTTATCAGTGTCCCCCTAGCAGCCAGCGTAAGTTGGTGAATGTTAAATTAATTGTTGAACATCATTTTGGTTTTCTATGAGAATAGACCTCCCAATTCCAAACTGTCCCAGACAAACATAAGCCAGAAAAGAAAAGTGGGCAATAGTGCTCTGGTAAGTGCAGCCGCGCTGTCCTGAAGATAACATTTTTATAAAAGCCAGGGATGTGGGAAAAGAATGGACCATTCAGTGGCCTTGAGAGCTACAGCACTTCCTGACTTAATCACAGGAAATACACTTGGTAACCTATCTGCTTGGCCATCTGCTCCCCAGTTCTCATGGGCAAACCTCGTGTGCTTTTCTGTCTGAACACCAGGGCAGTCAACGGCAGTGCTGCACCACAAGCTGAATGCATCGGGAGCCCAAGTTTTGCCTCCATTCCTCCATCCACACCTCAGCAAGTTGAGTGAGGATTTGGTGTTGGGCAGTTTGGGGGACTCCACCTTTGTCTAGGGACAGCCTAGGCAGCCCAGACTGACCTCCAGCAGTGTTAAGAGGATCAGCCAGCTTCAGGGGAGCTGGGAGATGTAGGCTGGGGGTCTTGGTGCATTCTTAGGCTTGAAGCCTTCAGGCTCAATAATTCCTTTGAGATGGGAGCTCTCTCAGGCTGGGGCAGCAGGAGGCATTTCTGACTAACTCTGCTCCTGGACTATGCTTCAGGTCAGATTACCCAAGAGGTGGAGGGGAGGGGAAAAGGTTGGAGTGGCTCCCAGAAGTGACTAAGTAAATACAATTTGCCTCAATTCTTTTTGCTCAGCACACTAGTTCGGCCCTGTCTAATATATAGTAACCTTAGACAGGCTTGGGCTTTAAACACTAGACTTCTCTGTCCCTGTCTTTTGCTTCTTACTTTATCCACTGTATTCATTTTCCTACTGACTCAACTAAAAAGATCAGTTCATGAATGATGCTTCATCCTCCAATAAAAATAATCTCCACGGTTTTCAGTCTTCTTATAGATACAAAGGTTTTACATAGTTGCCTGGAAAAGTACCAAACTGCCTTGTCCTTCTTGAAGTACCTATAAAAAAACACACACATATAAAACATGAGAAGACCCACTCACATGAGTTGAGAGAGCACATTGCAGATTTCTGCTCAAACGCCCCTGGGTAACAGTCTTGCAGCTTAGAGAATACCATATGGTTTCCAAAGTCCTTTCCCCTATCTTATCTCACTTAGCCTGCCAAATAATACTGGGTGGTAAGCAATGTGGTATTTCTAATACTCCTGTTTATCAGAAGGAGGAACCCATGTTCAGAGAGAGGAAGTAACATGTCTGAGGTCCCATCGCTTAGTAAGTATGAGAGGCAGAATCTAGACCCAGGTCTTCTGCCTCCCAGTCCATTGCTCTTTCCAACACTTCTGCTTTGTGGAGGAATTCATACATTTATCTGACACAAGATGACACAAGGGATTCAGATTTTCTAAACTGTGCAGTTTCTAAAAGCCCACTGAGTATGGCCACCCATCAAAAGGACATTCCTATTGAGCTTGTGCCTCAGCTCCCAACTGAGCCCCTGTCTTTGGTACCAATCTTGTTAGGGCTCCTGCTAAGCCAGGAGCGCTGAGCCATCTGGTAACAAAGCCCTTCCTGGGCTGTTCCACATGCAGAACTGCTGATCCTTAATCTAATTCCTTCCCTTGGGATTCTCTCTTTAAAGCAGGAAAGGCAGATATATGTTGTGTCATCATTATCCTCTCTTTAGCAGACATCCCAATTTGATCATTACACTCTTATCTTAACTGGCTTAGACTTGGCTTTGGAATTCTGTTGTACACAGCATCTCAGGCAGCCACTACCAGTGGGTTGGAATTACTACCCAAAGTCAAACTTTCAAACTAAAAAAATATGTTAAAGCTTAGGACACCTAAAACATCTAATTGAACTCCTATGGAGAATGGCCAAGAAGGTTAGAGAACTGAGATGGTAGGGTTCAGAGACAATAAGAAACTTGTCTTGGCCCACATAGCTAGTTAGCATCTTTCCTTATGGATGATAAAAGTGAGTTCTGCTGGGCTACTTTATTTGTAGTTTGAAAAGGCTACTTTTCAAAGTGACTGAGGAGGCTGGGCGTGGTGGCTCACGCCTGCAGTCCCAACGCTTTGAGAGGCTGAGGCAGGCGGATCACTTGAGGTCAGGAGTTCGAGACCAGTCTGGCCAACATGGTAGAACCCCATCTCCATTAATAATACAAAGATTAGCCAGGCATGGTGATGTGGGCCTATAGTCCCAGCTACTTGGGAGGCTAAGGCAGGAGAATCACTTGAACTCGGGAGGCAGAGCTTGCAGTGAGCCGAGTTCATGCCACTGTACTCCAGCCTGGGTGATGCCTCCATTAGAGAACCAGTGCTCCTTCCCACACCTAAGTTCCCATAAAAAAATAAATATTCCTGAAAGAGTTTAACAGCTAGTGCATACTAGGGCTGCACTCTCTAAAATGATAGCCACCTGTGACTCCTGAGCACTTGAAATGTAGATAGTCTGAAATGGGCTGTGCTGTAACTATAAAACATACATTGGGTTTCAAAGATTTGGTATGAAAAGATATATGTAAAATAACTCAACAATTTTTAATACTGATTACATGTTCAAATGATAGCAGTTTGAATACACTGGGTTTACAAAACATATTATAATTAATTTCACCGGTTTCTTTTTACTTCTTCTTCATTTTTTGAGACAGAGTTTTGTTCTTGTTGCCCAGGCTGGAATGGAAGGGCACGATCTCAGCTCACCACAACCTCTGCCTCTTGAGTTTAAGGAATTCTCCTGCCTCAGCCTCCCGAGTAGCTGGAATTACAGGCATGCACCACCATGCCGGGCTAACTTTACATTTTTGGTAGAGATGGGGTTTCTTCATGTTGGTCAGGCTGGTCTCCAACTCCTGACCTCAGAATTAGGATTACAAGCGTGAGCTACCACACCCAGCTCTTTTTACTTCTTTTTAATATGGCTTCTAGAAAATTTTAAATTTCATGCATGGCTTACATTGCATTTCTATTGGATTGCACTGTACTAGAGTGGTCACTGACTTCTCAGACCTGACTTTCTACTGAACAGAATGACTCAAGGTAGTGAGAGCCATAGGCTTCTGGGGACCTTGGGAGGATGCGGTCATTCTTTAAGAGGCTGATGAGGACAAGGCAAATCTTTTTGACTTCTCATTCACGTTGAGGTCTTGCTGTCCTCACCACTCCAGTTCAGATATTACTTTGCTTTAGCAAAGCTTTGCCAGAAAAATCAGGGAAGAGCTGGTCTTTAGAAAGATGATGAAGGTAAAGCCACTTGTATAGGGAGAAATTGAGGCAAAGAGTAGGTTAGTGTCTCCCAACATTATATTCATGCCTGAACAGAAAGAACACAGATTTAAGGAGAGATAGGTAGCTTGAGTTCAAATCTTGGCCTTATTCTTTGCTACCTTGATGATCTGGGCATAGTTACTTAACTTCTTTGGGCCTCAGTTTTTGAATCTGATAAATGAGGATAATTCTTATCTTACCAGGCTGTTTGTTGAGAATGTCAATAAAAGCATACCAAATACAGTGTCTTATTTGTAACAGAATCTCAATAAATGTTAATCTTTCTCCTTCTTGTAAAGGCAAATCCATTAATTAAGCAGGCTGCTTTGATTAATATTATTGAAAGGCTGGAGTAAATAAGGTCTTTAGAACATCTACACATATGCCTGAGTTTCATGGTAAGAGACATAGGCTCAGTCAAAATGTTTTTGTATTATTTCATAAGGGTTTTAAAAATAAAATTTACAAATGTAAACTAGATACATGCACAACATAAATATAAATGGAAACCCAATTAACAAATTTGACCACTGCTCTTCTGTGCAGCAGATTTGGTTTCAGGTCCAACATTAGCAACATCTACACCATCATAAGAGCAACACAGACTGGCAGCCCAGCCTTCCTGAGGTCACAAAAAGCAGAGAAGCCTCTTCTTTCTGTGCATAGAAGATTGCTTTGCTTTTTGCATGGCTCATATCCCCCTGTTATTCCTTCAATACACAACTAGTAAGAAAAGCATGATGAGATTCTTACCAACAAACCATCCATCGTCACATTTTTCCATGACATCAACAATGTCTCCATCTCGGAGTTCCAACTCATCATCATTCTGTGGTATATAGCTATATAATGCTTGATAGCTAAATCTATATATGAGAAAAATGAATATTAAGTGACTCAAAGGTTGACAGAATTAAAAAATGAATTTTTAAACTTCATTACAATTTCAATCAACATTTCAGTAGAGTCTCCTACTTATCAGTGGGGATAAAATATTTTATTGACTATTTCCCTAATAACTTAGCATTTGAGGAGATGCATTCAACATATAAGTTAATTAAGACTTAGGGATGGAGAACTTCTGACAAGCCATGATCAGTCCTTAGTTTCTTCTTCTTGTTTTTTTTTTTTTTTTTTTTTTTTTTTTTGAGACTCCTCGTCGCCCAGGCTGGGGTGCAGTGGCACGATCTCAGCTCACTGCAGCCTCCGCCTCCTGGGTTCAAGTGGCTCTCCTGCCTCAGCCTCCCAAGTAGCTGGGATTATAGGTGGTCACCACCATGCTCGGCTAGTTTTTGTATTTTTGGTAGAGATGGGGTTTTGCCATGTCAGCCAGGCTGGTATTGAAGTCCTGACCTCGTGATCTGCCTGCCTCAGTCTGCCAAAGTGCTGGGATTACAGGTGTGAGCCACTATGCCCAGCCTCTTAGTTTCATTTCAAGCAGTTTTATCTAGAACACCTGCCACTCTACCCTGACCTCTGCCTTCAAAGCAGTGGTCCCCATGCTTTTAGGCACCAGGGACTGGTTCCATAGGAGACAATTTTTCCACAGATGGTGTGGGGCAGTGGGGATTGTTTCAGGACGAAACTATCGGGACATTAGATTCTCATAAGGAGGGTATAACCTAGATCCCTCATATGTGCAGTTCACAATAGGGCTCATGCTTCTATGAGAAGCTAATGCACTGATCTGACAGGAGGCAGAGCACAGTTGGTAATGCCTGGGGGTTGGGAACCCCTGCTTTAAAGTAAACCAAGCATTTTCCTTAATATAGGACAATGTATGTAAATTATCAAGCATAATCAGAAATTATTTAGGCCCAGAGACATCACAGTCTGGTCATACATATGGAGAACATAAAACACTGGTTTTAAAAAAAAAGTGTATGTGTATAATAGCCATCTATCATATATATAATAGCTATATATATGGCTATTAAAAGTACATTCCAATTGCCTCACTGTTTAGCAAAACTATCTTGAGTTTCTTTACATGCCTAAACACATTTCATTCACTGCTTTCAAATGTGGATGTCATTTTCCTGAAACCCTTGAAAGCTTTTTGCCTTTTTCTATCCCAGTGAGAGAGTGAGGGCAAGATTTTTATTTACTTGCTAGCTGGCCTAAGGCATTGGGTCTGTGCTGCTTTGTCTGCTCTAACAGCCACGGGAGACAGCTGGACTGCTTGTGGTGAAATCTGATCCTTGCTTTGGCATCAAGGAAACACTTTGTTTTTATTTATTTATTTCTTCAACAAATACATAAGAGGCACCTACTATGCACCAACTTCACAACTCTGTTTACTACTTTGAGACACAACAGTAGCAGGCAAAACTGTAAATGAGCCAATCATCCACCATTTCCAGTAGATGTCAATGAATTGCAGTTTGCAAGCAAGAGAGACTAGAAACAGGCAAGTGGAGTCACTTCCCAAAAACAAGAGGTTCATTCTGCTCTGCTAAAACCAGAGGGATAACTTCACTCTTCATATTTATCCAAATACATTGATAATTTGGTGAATGGATCTGGTTGTCAGAAGGAAGGTCTCAAATGAGGAATTAAGAGATGCAGATTGATTAATCATAATTGGTAAATACTTTTTTGTTTTCATGTTTCTGTATTTGCCTGCTGTCTCCTACTCAATTTGGATTCCCCTGCTGGCCTCCCCATATATGCCATTGCCAGCTTCTTAGAATGCCTGGGCCCTTTAATTCCCACTATGGCGGCTTTGCCAGCCTCAGCTCTGGGAAATAACTCCAATATCTGCTTCTCTGTTTTCACTCCCAGACAGTGGAGGCAAACTGCACAAAGTCCCACACTCTTGCTGATTGGGTCCCCCAGTCAGCTCTAATTTAGAATGAACCTCATACTCCTCAGGACACTGTCCCATGGGGTCCTTTCCCCAGCAATCCTGTCAATCCTGGTGCCTTGCACTCAGCCAAGAGAGCTCTCACTCTGCCCTGACTTCTGGAGATGGAAATTTGCTGTGGGTAGCACCTTAATCCTCTCCCCTTGGATTTCAGTTTCTATACCTCCACTCACCTTCCTGCCCCTGCCTCCACATGCGAGGAAAGAAGGGTCCCTTCTCCAGGCCATGTTGAACCCCCTTCCTAGGCTCTGCCTTCACTTATATCTTATCTGCATTTGTTGGCATTCTCCTCTGGTACAAATGTGCTTGTCTCTGCACCCTAAAAACACCTCCCATCTCTACTATTCCCTTTATCTGTAGCCCCCCCTCCCCTCCCCGGGCCTTCCACTCACCATCGACCCTTCCTAACACAGTGCCTGCTGCCAACCCTACTAACACTGCCACATCAGAAGTCACGGTGATTTTTCCAGTCGCCATAGAAAATGCCTGCTGGACATTTCTCATTTCCCACCCTTGGCATCTCTGGGGCAGGTGACATTGCTGACCAGATGCTGCAGCTGTTCTGTGAAAGCGAACATCTTTAGAGCCCTGCCGGCATGTCTTGCTGCCCCTTCCCAGTCTGTGCGGCTGGCTAGGCTTCTTTACCTGTATCTCCATTGGTAATCATATGCACTTCCATGGTTACAGAATGCCTGCTTTGTCTTGGCTCAGGCCCTCATGGCTTCTTAGCTGGATTGATGTTTCCTAACACACATCTTTGTCTCTGGTCTATGAAATCTAACCCTCCACTCTGTTGTCAGAGTTATCTCCCTATTACAAAATTGATCAATATGTTCTTACTTCAAAAATCTTCAGTGGCTCCCTAGTACCTGCAGAATAAAATCTAAACTTACTTCAACTGCATTCTGGAATCTGCCATCTGGTCCCACTCCACCTCTGAGCTTCATCTCTACTTTCCATGAACCGTACACAGCAGCTACACACGCCTCTTCAAGTTCTCCAAATACCACCCATTCTATCCCTTTGTACATGTGGTCCTCTCCTCTGGGAAGACATATTCCTCCCTTTTCTAGCTCTCAGAATCCAATTTGTCTCTCAGTGCTTGGTCCAAATCTTTCTCTGTGCACAGAGTTTTTTCCTATATGCTTAAAACATAGGAGGTATCCAATAATCTTTTTTATGAATAAATGAATGAAGCAACCATTTCATTCATGGCTGATTGGAATTAACTTTTCCTTCCTCTATGTTCCCACTACACTAGAAATGAAACCAGTCAGCACAGCTCTCATTTGCCATTCTACAGCAGTTAAGCTTTACCTGCTTCTCTCCCAGAAGTCTACGACGGCCTTTATTTACCTGCCACCTGTTTTCACCTTGGCAGATGGGGAACATGGCCTTCATTAGAAATCCTCAGCAGAGAACACGGGAGTAATTCACTCATTCCCGCAAACGACTGCCGCACATTCAGCCAGTGACCCACTTTCTAAAACCAACAGTCCTCTGAGAACATGAGAGTCAAAGTTCACCAGGAATACTTACAAATCTTGTGAGGTTTGACTCCTGTCGGGGGTGACTCTTCGCTGCTGGGCTTGAGGTTGCTGAGAAATGATTAAAGATGATTTATTGTCAGAAGGGGATACCTTGTGATGAAAGTCAAGGGGATGAGAAACAGTGCTGCAGTAATGAACAGATTTTTCGGCAATGTTTATGATCTCATTGCAAACCGCTTCCTGTGAGGTGGCCCCGAGATATCCAGAAACCCCAATAAAACAGTCAACATGGGGACAAAAAAAAGAAAGAGAGGAAGAGATGTAACATTCCAGATGAAGCACATAAGTCCAGGGAGAAAACAGAGTTGAAGATCCAGGTTAAAAAAATAGATATTCCAGTAGTGGAGTGCAGGAGGGATCCAGGCGTAAGCATGGAAAAACAGGTAAGATACAGAAGAATTTGGAATTTAGTATGAATATTAAAAAAAAAAAAAGAAGGCAGCAGCATACAAGCCTGTCATTAGTGAGTAACTGTTACAAATGTAATACTTTAGGGTAGAAATGCAAGTATGTATCCCCAATCATGCACTAATATATTAATTTAATCCCACATATAGGCAGAGTAGAAATATTGTCTCTACACTCCTCTGCTTTTTTCCAGGGGTTGGGGTAAGGGAATGGCCTAACATCTCGCTCTACTACAACAGCCACAGAATTCTTGTAAATAATGGTTCTGTGGGTTAACCAGGCATCACTCTAGTCTAGATTCTAGAAGGATCAGTAAGGATTCTCTTTAGAAAAGCTGCAGTCTTATTCAACAGGCATCTTACCACATAGCTCTTTTCAGATTCTGTGAGATCAGGTCCTGCTCTCAATGAATGATGAGAAAGCTGTGATCACCAAGCAAATTATAAGGGAGACATTTTAGCAGATGTCACATTGGAAAGGATTCAAAATAAAAGCATGAGCAAATCCACGTACCACACCATCACGCTTGGATGACACCGGATACTGGCAGCCTATGGCCACCAAGTCTCCACAACAACACGGTGGGTGCACAGAAGAAAATGCAAATGTAGAGTTAGAAGCAAGCATCCAGGAAATGAAATGGGAAATTGGAAACATGGCTGCAGTGAAGTGAGGATGAACACCACAGGGTCCCCAGATTGGTAGGAGACAGACACAGAAAGGCCGTCTTAGCCATGTCCCTCCACACACATTGGTCTTCTCACACTCAGCTAGTAAGCATCTAGGGGAGGCTGTTGAACCCAAAGCCAGCTTCAGTTATTTTATTGACTGGAAGCTCCTTCCAGCAGAGCAAGCTCATAGAACCATCAGGTCTGCTATATTTCAGAACTTATAAAAACTGAAACAGGGGATAACATTTTTGAAAACTTCCTTGGCAATATCTGAAGTATCAACCAAGACCATTCCCCTGGAAAATCTGCACATGACATACTCCAGTGAGGTATGAGATGAGTTCAGATTGCCTGTAGGACAGAACTTGCTTCCAGAAATAGGACTGTATGTGACCAAACTGTCACTCTTCACTTACCAACCCAGGTACCACGTGCTGACATATAAACACAGATGCAAACATGGCCAAGCAGACCTGCCTTTTGAGTGGGGCTTCCACTGCAGGGGCCAAGCCTTCACTGGAACAATGTTTGGAACTATGTCCCCCAGAGAGGATTCAATTCCAAGCTCTAGGAATTTTTTCTAAATAAATACTTTGAAGAGCCATCCTTGAAAAAAAATCTTCCAGGTAACAAGCAATAATAGCAACAGGCCAGTCCAGCATGGTGGCTAATGCCTGTAATCCCAGCACTTTGGGAGGTCAAGGCGGGAGGACTGCTTAAGCTTGGAAGTTGGAGACCAACCTGGGCAACATAGCAAAACCCCGTCTCTACAAAAAATACAAAAATTACCCAGGTGTGGCAGCATATACCTATAGTCCCAGCTCCTTGGGATCAACTGAGCCCAGGAGATTGAGGCTGCAGTGAGCCATGATTGCACCACTGCACTCCAGCCTGGGTGACAAAGCAAGACCCTGTCTCAGAGAAAGAAAAAAAAAAAAAAAAAAGTAGGCCACAGCTCCAGGGCCTTCTAGACAGGTACTTAGAAATCTTTTGTGGGCCGGGTGCGGTGGCTCAAGCCTGTAATCCCAGCACTTTGGGAGGCCGAGGCGGGTGGATCACGAGGTGAAGAGATCGAGACCATCCTGGTCAACATGGTGAAACCCCATCTCTACTAAAAATACAAAAAATTAGCTGGGCATGGTGGTGAGTGCCTGTAATCCCAGCTACTCAGGAGGCTGAGGCGGGAGAATTGCCTGAACCCAGGAGGCGGAGGTTGCGGTGAGCCGAGATCACGCCATTGCACTCCAGCCTGGGTAACATGAGTGAAACTCCGTCTCAAAAAAAATAAATCTTTTGTGTATTCCCTACTGTTTCACAGAGAGACACAGACAGAGTGAGAGCCTCCCTTGAGGTCACACAGCAAGTTAGTGGTAGGTTTGTCTCCTGGTTTCATCTTCTGTCCCACCTGACCTTGTCTTTCATCCTCAGACCATCTTCTACCTTATCAGTGTGCTCACTGAACTCATCTTCAGTGAGTCCCTCAGAAACCCTGGAGTCAGGCAGGACAGGGTTTATCACTGCTTTCTTAAAAAACCCAGGAAGCTGATGCTCAGAGGGGTTTCGTGCATTCCTCAACATCACACAGCCAGTAAGAGGTAAAGTGGCTTGGCTGCTCTTTCCACTCCACCAGACCACCCCCTCCTGTTCATCTCTACTGTAAATGTCCTCATTCAATAGCACACCCTGCAGGACTAACTTCCATGGCAGGCATCTCCACAATACCCCAGTCCTTTTGGGAAGCCTCTTCAGGTTCTCCAAACCCCTTCTAAAGTGCAGTCACTCAAACCAGTCACCTTGTGCTCTGACAGGAGTGAAGGAGGAGACAGAACTAAAGGGGCCATGACATGCTTCTCCTACAATGACTCTGGATGTTAGGTCTTTGCCAGGTGACTGGGAGCTGACCTTCTGTGGCTCCACTCACCACCCACCCTCCACTCACTGCCTCTGGATTAAGGTGTCCATAACACAAAGGAAAGAAATGGACATTTCCAAGCACCTTCTATGTGGGCTTTCAGAAGAATGAAACTTATTCTGGGCACTTTGAGTGGGTGACAATGACATACAGATTTCAACTTGACAAAAGGGAGAACTTTTGAATAGTCCAGCAATACAAGGGGCTGCCTCAAGAGGAAATGAGTTGCCTGCCACGGCAGCTGTTTAACCTGAGGTTGCTGTGGACTATGACTAATTGGGATATTGTAGAGCCATGCTTCTTAAACTTTAATGTATGCAGCTATCATTTGGGATCCTGTTAAAATGTAGACTCTGACTTGATATACCTGGGCTATATTGTGAGGTTCTGCATTTCTATTTGGTAGTGCAGACGCTGCTGGTTCACAGACCAACTTTAGGCAGCAAGGGTGCAGTGGACCTCAACTGCCCCACATTGAGATTCTTTGGTTACAGCATCCCAAGACCGGTGGTCTGGGTCACACCTCATGAAAACAAACGTTCTCATAAAAAACAAAGTATTTCCAAATTCCATGGTGGCCTCATGACCTCAGGTCAAATGTGGTATAAAGAGAGGATGTAAACAATCTCCTGGCAAGATCTCCATAGCTTACGGTAACCTAGCATCTTTCAATCAGCTTCATTCATCCCAAAGGAGTGACTGGAACCAATTGTCTAGCAAATAATTTGGTGCTGAAAATAGGATCAGTGAATCAGATATATTAAAAAGAACCTGATATTTTATAAGCAGATATAGGTCCATTACATATCTGACTTTTGTACTAAGCTTCTGACTTCAGGAGTGCAGAACAAGGAATTTAAGGCTCAAGAGAAGTTCCAGCCCAGGCACCAATTTTTTTTTTTTTTTTTTTTTTTTGAGAAGGAGTCCTGCTCTGTCACCCAGGCTGGAGTGCAGTAGCACAATCTAAGCTCACTGCAACCTCTGCTTTTCAGGTTCAAGCAATTCTCCTGCCTCAGCCTCCCAAGTAGCTGGGATTACAGGTACAGGCCACCACACCCAGCTAATATAGTTTTAGTAGAGACAGAGTTTTGCCATGTTGGTCAGGCTGGTCTCAAACTCTTGCCCTCAAATGATCTGCCCACCTCGGCCTCCCAAAGTGCTGGGATTACAGGCATGAGCCACCACACTCAGCCCCACTTCTACACTCTCTTGTCCTTTCAGGAAGCATCTTCAAGTTCTCCAAACCCCTTCTAAACTGCAGTCACTCAAACCAGTCACCTTGGATTCTGACAGGAGTAAAGGAAGAAACAAAACTAAAGGGGCCATTTCATGCTTCTTCTACAATGTCTCAGAACGTCGGGCCTTTGCCAGGTGGCTGGGAGCTGACCTTGTGAGGTTTGCACAAGGCAGTGTGAGAGCTGAGCCCTTTGATGTCTAATCTCCATATACCACCTGCCACCTACCTCTTGGGTCATGATTACATTGCTTGTGTAACTATGATAGCAACACCCAATTTCTGTCTCATCTGAAAACAGGCACTAGCTATCATTCCCTTCTTGTATACTTTTAACTCAAGGTGTTCAAAGGCATTTCCTTATATAAAAGATATGGCATACAGAATAGTGTCTGATCATTAACTGTGAACTTCAGTACTGGAAAGGATGGGATACTGAGGCCCACCTTGTACCTTCCTTGGTCTCAGGCCATACCCAAAGCTAACGATCATCATCATCATAACTTTAACATCTGTATGGTACAAACAACCCCATTCCTGAGAGGTAGGGATGACTGGGTACCTCACTCAGGGTTTGTTGAATAAATGAAGGAAGAAGGCAAGATAAACATTTATTCTATTAGCTAAGACTCAATTTCTCTCTGTTTAGATTTAAGTGAAATAGCACATATAACTGAAATGTAAACCAGTTTTTTTCAGGGGATGAAGACATGGCATGGAAGTAGAACCTAAGTGGAAATGGAGACCATTACTGCCCATCACAAGAATCAGCCCTTCATTTTGAAGGCTGTTTACCCTAAGATTTTTTCCCCCTCTAGGTATTTTTTTTTCTTTTCCTGTCCCCATTTTCTAATCACTTTACAGCTTTATACGGTGCTTCTTCTGGACCTGTCCTGTCCAAGATAGCCAGTAGCCACAGCTGGCTGTTGGACACTTCAGATGTGGCAGATATGAAGTGAAATGTACTATGTATGAAAATATACACTGGATTTCAAAAAATTAGTATAAAATAAAGAATGTAAAATCTCAGTAATAATTTTTAGATATATTAGGTTATAATATATTAAAATTAATTTCAGTTGTTCCACTTTACTGTGTCCACTAGAACATTTTAAAATCACACATGTGGCTCACATTATATTTCTACTAGACAGTGCTGCTCTGAACCCTCCCCAGGTCCTTAGCATCTGCGCTTATTTAAGCCTAAGAGAAGATGCAAGTTCTAAATGAGGACTTCATCTAAGGTTAAGAATAAAGGGAATATTATCTCATGCTAAGGACATTTCCGACTCTGGTGACTCATTCCAGTTTTTCACGTGTTCACAAAAACAACCAGCCTAGTGCATGCCTGCATACACGCACACACACACACACATGCACGCACACACACACACATACACAAATATACACACACTGCACTCCCCTCCTTTCCACTGTTAATAGTAAGCAGGTGACAGTCCTTGATCCAGAAACTGCTTTCTTCCGTATTTGTACACAAGTCGCCTCTCCTGGCCTGGAGTGCTTTTTTCATCCTCCCCAAGTGGGTGACCCTGCATGTGTCCTTGCTATTGCCCTTCTACTTTCAGTTCACAGAAATCCCTGAGA